AGATAAGAATCAAACTCTTTTGCAATTTCTCATAAAAAATTAAAGAAGTAACTTAGTATTCCACTAAAACTCTAAGAATTGTCATGTCCATGTGATTGCATTATTACCTCTCTTTCTTGTTAAATAACACATGGCGTTCACTGTAATATAAAAATCCATGCCGTTTCTCAGTTGCATTTAAAAGCTGTCAAAAGCTTTCCATCTTATAATTTTTGTACTTTTGAATTACAAAAAGCAGTGGAAAAGTTGGAAAGGATCATAAATACAGTCTTCTGCACCAGACTTCTCATTTTACCAATAAATAATTTAAGCTCTGATGTACAAGCACCACAATCAAGTTAAGAGAACTATACTAGCCGAGACTACCTAGGTTCCAGGCTTTGGAACTTCATGTCTTCTGCATTCTACTTTGAGCCTAGGGTATTTGCATCTGACTGCTTGGAGTCTAAGGTGCCTGGAATAAAATGAGGGCTCTGAGAAAGGTAACCATACCAATTTATTTCATCCTCATGTTAACTCTATGGGGAAGGTATGTTTGATTTGACTGTATTTACAGGTAGGGGAGCTAAAAGGATAAGATATTAAAGGTCATTCCTAACACAGTGAGCAAAGAATGTGAAGCTGGGCAGGCTGCTCCACAGTCCATGCTGTGGTCTGAACCACTGTGTAACCTTGTCAGCAAAGCGGGGACTTAGGGCGAGTAAATAAGGTGGAAGAAGAGCAAGACAAAAGGAAGGAAGGGAAAGAGAGGAAGGGGGATATTTTAAAATTAGAGAAGGATCCTAAGGAAAAAGAGAAGTAAGCTAGGAAGTCACTGTGAAGAAAAGCCGTATTGATTTTTTGGATTTAGCAAGCATTGTCTAGTTTCACATCATAAATATCTGGCAGCCTATTATGTGTCTTCCTTTGTATTAAATCTTTCTCGTGCCCAACCTCTCTTTCCTCAATCAAGATAAGGAAAGAGGGAAAAAAGAGGGTGGTGAAGGCTAATTTTAATTACTTAACCTTGTCTGTGTATATATGGAGAGGTTCATTATGGACTTTATGACCTGTTGATTGTGCAGTTAGCAAGACAAGCTTATTTCACAAAGATAAGGTACATTTTAGAAGCAAGTAAAGCTAATATCTTGAAGTCCTGTGATTTTGGAACAACTCAACCTAAATATGTTTTGATGCTTAAAGCCAAAATTAAGGCTGAGCTTTAAAAATAGTTTTATTGAGGAATAATTGACCTGTAAATAATTGCCCATATTTAAAGTATACAATTTGAGAAATTTTTACATATATGTGTATCCATTATCAAGATAAACATTTCCGTGACCTAAAAAACTTTGTTCATGCCCTTTTATATTCTGTCTCTCCTCTCTTTCTTTGTACCATCCCCAAGCAACCACTGCTTTGCTTTTTGTCACTATGGGTTATATTCTCTAGAATTTTATATAAATGGAATTCTACATTATGTATTCTTTTCTGATTGACTTTTTTCATTAAGCAAAATTATTTTTAAATTCATCTAGATTGTAGCATATACTAAAAATTCATTCCTTTTTATTTCTGAGTTGTGTTTTATTTCATGGATATACCATAGTTTCTTTCCCAATTCACCTATTAATGGACATTTGGGCTGTTTACAGTATTTGATTGTTACAAATAAATCTTGTATGGACATTCATATAAAGTCTTTGGATATATATTTTTTTGTTTCTCTTGGATAAATACCCACAAGTAGAAAGTACGGTTGATGTATGTCTATCATTTTGAAGACTCAAACTTTCCAAAGTGGTGCTGCCATAGTGTATGAAGTCCCACATGCCCAACTTTCTTAACCACGCTTGGTATAATTACTGTTTTAAATTTTAGCCATGTACTACACTTGTAGTGATACCTGATTGGGGTTTTAATTTATATTTCCCTAATAACAAATGATGTTGAGGCTTATTTCATGCACATATTTGCCATTTTACACTACTTTAGTGAAGTGCTTATTCATATTTTTGCCCATAATTTAACTTGGGATGTTTGGGGTTTTTACATAGACTTTGAGATGTAGTTTGAAGTTCATTTGTTGTGTCATTGGATAAGTAATTATTCTAGCACCATTTGTTGAACAGACTCTTGGTTCTCCTCTGGATTGCCTTTGTGCCTTTGTCAAAAGTCAGTTTTCCATGTATGTGTGAAATAATTTCTGGATTTTCTATTATTTTGCATTGATCTAGTTACTAACCTTAATACCAGAACCATACTATTGATTACCATAGCTTTAAAATGTTGAAATAAGGTAGTGTTAATCTTTTGACTTTGTTTTTTAAATTTGTTTTGGCTACTGTAGGTCTTTTGCTTTTCCATATGAATTTTATCATGTTTTTATATTTGCCTCACTCCCCCCATTAAAATAGTGGCTGAGAATTTGATTGGCATTGTATTGATCAATTTGAAGAGAATTGACAACATTGAGTCTTTCAGCCAATTAATATAATTTACTTATTTTATTTTTTTAGGCCTGTAATTTCTCTCAGCAATGTTTTTAAATTTTCAATGTAGATCTACATTTTCGTTAACCTTACCCCCAATTATTTCATATTTTAACACAGTGTTTTCAGTTTCATATTTTTTATTTTATATGGAAATGCAATTGATTTTTGTACATTAGTCTTGCATCCTGTGATCTCTTTTATTTTGCTCTTTATTTCTAGTAGCTTTTCTGTAGATTCCATTTGATTTTCTTCATAGATAATCGTATCTTTTGTGAATAAAAACATTTTACTTCTTTCTTTTTCATCTGGATGATTTTGTTTAGATTTTGCCTTATTGTACTGGCTAAAATGTGGAATACACTGTTGAATAGAAGTAGTGAGAGTAAACTTCTTTTGTTCCTGATCTTTAGGGAAAGCATTCAGTGTTTTGCCATTGATAATAATTTTAACTGTAGGTTTCTCGTAGATACCTTTTCTTGGTTTGAAAATGTTTCCTTTCATCCTAAATCTGCTGAGTTTTTTTTTCTGGGATGAATATTGAATTTTGTCAAATTGGTGTTTATTGATATGGTCATATGGTTTTTCTGTTTTAATTTGTTTATATGATAAATTACATTGATTTTTTAAATATTAAGACCACCTTCCATTCCTGTGATAAACCTAATTTAGACCTAATATATCATCCTTTTTATATATTTTTCGGATTTACTAAAATTTTGTTTGGAATTTTTGCATAAATATATACAATGGATATTGCCTGCAGTTTTCTTGTAATTGTCTTTATTGGGTTTAGTTATTGGAGTATTGCAGGCCTCATACAATGAGTTGAAAACTATCTCCTCTCTTGTTTTTCTTGAAAATTTTGTGTAAATTGATAATATTCTTCCTTAAACATTTGATAATTCACTAATGAACTCATCTGCGCCTGGAGTTTCCTTTGTTGGGGAAAGTTTTTAGCTTCAGTTTCAATTCTTTTAATAAATACAATGGACACAGAAATATTTAGATTATTTTTCTTCTTAAATGAGCTTTGGTAGGTTATATCTTTCAAAGAATTCATCTATTTTGCCTAAGTTGTCAAATTTATTGACACAATAATATCTATTATTCTTTTATTATCTGTAATATTTTTAATGATACAACTCTTATTTTTGATATTGATGTTTTCCCTTTCTCCTATTCAGTCTAATTAGAGGGTTCTCAATGTTATTGAGAACAACGTTTGGTTTCATTTATTTTCCCTATTTTTTAATTTTCTATTTCATTTACTTTAACTCTGATCTTTCTTCTACTTACTTTAGGTCTTATTTACTCTTCTCTTAATTTCTTAAGGTGAAACCTGAGGTCATTGACTTAAAACATTTCTAGTTTTCTAAAATAAGCATTTGGTGCTACTAATTTTTTTTTTTTTTTTTTTTTTTTGTACCGGGGATTGAACTCAGGACCTTGCACTTGTGAGGCAGGCAGTGGAACCACTGAGCTAAATCCCTGGCCCTAGCGCTATTAATTTCTCCCAGAGCACTGCTTTAGCAGCATTCCACAAATTTTTATATGTTGTGTTTTCATTTTTATTCAATGAAAAATCACTTACAAATTTTATTTGTATTTCTTCTTTGACACATGGATTATTTAGAAATCTTTTTAGTTTCAACCTATTTAGGAATTTTCCAGATATTTTTCTGTAACTGATTTCTCATTTAATTTCACTGTGATCAGAAAATGTATTTTGCATGACCTGAATCTTTTTAAATTTACTGAGAATTATTCTGTGGTCCAGAATATTTTCTATTTTGATTACTGTTCAATGTACGCTTAAGAAGATTGTGTGTTCTTTAAAGGTAAATTATGTCAGATTGGTTAGTAGTGTTATTCAAGTCTTCTAGCTGCTCCACACACTGCTCCCCATATTCTCAGCTCTGTCTCAAGACTCAGAGAGATTTGCAGACCCTTTTGGGGGTCCTCCTGTATACCCTATGGCCAGAAACTCTCAAGGCAGTTGGCTAGGGCAATTGTAGGGTCTCTCTTATTTGTTACCCATCTCTCAGACATCATTGTCTTTCCTTTCTTTCTGTCTAGAATCTTAAAAACCATTGATTCATACATTTTGCTCATATTTTAGATTTTGGAGCCAGAAGTTAACTTTGGGAAGTTGTAACTGTAATATATTAGTCATCTACTTCTTAACACACTTTCCAGGCCTATAAACCATGGCACTGTAAAAAGTACTAAATTTCTTTATTAAACAAGCTTTTATGAGGTTTCAAATGTATCCACTCTATAAAATAAAGCAAGTTGAGCCAACTGTACTATGAAATTACTTATTAAATTGGACTTTGGTTAGAACTCTAAGATAATTTTTTTGTTTTTCAATAGGATTTGGTAGTGAGGATGGTCAGTAGGCAGTTTCCAACTTCCACATGAGCTAGCCCCAATGACAGCTTATTTCTGAGAACCTATGTTAAACTTCAGGCCCTGCTCTGACTATCAAAGAGGAGATAAACAAGATATTACTTGATGCCTTGCTAGGGCCTACTCCAAGTTCAAGTCTTACTGGGATCTACTCACAGCTGGAAGGGAGATGGAATGGACACTGGAAATGCAGAGGCTGGGAGAAGCTGGACCATCTGTTGCAGTCAGGCCGTCCAGGCCCAACCCAAGGTGCTCAAAGGGCTGAAGTGCATGCAAGAAGTTAAATTATCCTTTTAACTTGTATACTTTATGTTTATACTCCCAACTAATTAAAAATTTGGAAGCCTAATTCATTATTGAGAAATAGAAATTATTAATGTTATATAACTATGGCCCCAACAGAGCCTTAATTGGACAGGCTCTTCTAGGTAGGCAGACAGACCCTGCCATGTTGGGCATGGAATTCATCTGATATCCAATATTGACTGTCAGTTTTTTTAAAGGCTCTAGTCATAAAAATAGTGATTTTACAGTCAAGCCACCAATTCAGATATTTATTTTACTCTTTGTTCAGGGTACATTTTATTTTATTTTATTTCTAGGAGCTTAGTGTACTTTGCAGTTGTAGTTGATCAGTATTTATTGAGCTAATATTATAGAATTATGTGGGGCTGATCCAAATTGGGAGCCTGAAGCTTACACAATTTGAAGAATCTTTAGGAGAAAGGATGCAAATATACAAATATAAAGTCGGGCTTAAAATGACTTTTTAGAATGAAAATGAAATTACAAATTATAAAATTTTAAAAGTTATAAATACCACAAAATCCAGGAAAATAATATATTATTATTTATTGTGTAGCAGGCCTCCAGAGTACTTTCCTCAACATTTTGCCGCATACTCTTTGTGTACTTCATCATATGGCATTAATTTTTTAATGTCATTTTCTATTGAGATGATAGAGGATGAAATATTGGTCTTTGCTGTAGCATGATTCAGTTACATTTGCATTTCATTATGAACAATTTGGTAAAGCTCCTGTCAGCCTCACTTCTCATTGGCATGCAGTAATTTCCTTAGCCACCCTTCTTCAAAGTGAGCCCTTGGAGAACTTCAGCTCTTCGAGCACATTGGCTTGGGCCTGGATGGCCCTACTGCAACAGGTGGTCCAGTTCCTCATAGTCTCTGCATTTCTGGTGCCCATCCCATCTCCCTTCCAGCTGTGAGTAAGTCCCAGTAAGTCATGAATTGTAAGTGGGCCCTGCACAAGGCACCAAGTAATATCTTGTTTATATCCTCTTTGGTTGACAGTGTCAGGGACTGAAGTTTAGTTCTCAGAAATAAGCTGTTATTGAGGCTGGCTGATGTGGAAGTTGGAAACTACCTATTGACCAGCCTCACCACCAGATTCACCAAAGTATATGCAGGGACCTCTTAGCTGGAACTAGATAGCCTCCAAGTCTTCCTCCTGCTGCTTGAGACTATGCTTGAGTGGGTAAGTGGAGCAATGAACAAGAGATGTGGTGGGCACTTTAGCCATGTAAATGAAGCCCCCTGGATAACAGCAGAATAATACCAGTACCTTACTTTCTTCTTCCATACAGCATAAAAGCCAAAGTCATCAGAAGGACTTTAACATACCCCATGCTCCTGCCACATTTGTCTTTCCAACAGACCTCCAGTATCACCCCTTGCATGTACACACACACACACACACACACACACACACACACAGTCTGCATTCCAGACAGATTTGATTGATTGGAGTGCCTGACAGTCCTGTCCCTTGACTTCATATTTTTTTCCCCACCTATAAAGCACCTATACCTATGCCCACTCATGGAACTCTCCCTCCTAAACAAAGCCTGGTCCAAGTGATGGAAGTTCTGCCACAAAACCTGCCAATCTGAATCAAAAGAGAAAGGCCTGATGTTCCCCAAGTGATACTTTTTATTTGTCTTTTGCACTTGCCCCAAATCCCATGTACCAAGCCACAGCTACATCAGGTGCCCAGTGACCATTCTGGAAGATACTTGATTTAGCTGAAGCAGACTTTGGTCTTGGACCTATTCCAGAAGACTCTTCCCTGCTGCCTCTGTGAATGACTGCCCTTTTGCAGCCCTCCTCAGTGAGGTCCACAAGAGGCCCTTCCCCTACCCACAATGAAACAGAAAATCTGACATTGTGCCTAAGCCAGTAGCTGAAACTGGTAATATTGAAGGCAGTCAGGGAATGACAGAAAACAGTAAAGAATTGCCAGGGGCTGCCATCTGTGGGGCTAGAAGAGCTTCTAAGGCCTGTCAGTATCTGCTTACTCCTAGCAGCAAGGAGGGCCACCAACACTAAGAGCTGATAGCTGCTGACATTCAAAGCAAAGGGCCATTATCACTAAAAGAGCTACCCTATGCCAATTATGATTGCTATACAAATTGAGTAAAAGAACCCTCAGCCAGTTGGTAACATCTTGCCAGTCCTTATATGGACCCCCTTTCAGAGAAACCTAAAAAAGAAGAAGGACAGTGGTGATTGTGGTCAGCAATGGCGATGCACCCATGTTTGATTTCCATCTTACATGTGGCTAAGTACCTACGCTACCCAGTAACAAATCTATATAATCAGTTGTGTTCTGGCACACCTCAGAATATCAAGGTACTTTTTTGTGTCTTTTGACCCAGCCCACCGCAAGATCTTCAGCAAAGTGATGCCAAAGACCATCTATTGTTTACCTTTTTCTAGTGGAGTTGCTCAATTAACATTTGTAAAATGTTATGACTCTACAAAATGAAATGACTCTACAATGAAATGACTCTACAAAAATGTATGTTCCTAAGGGTTCTAAAAGAGAAATCTGGAAGTCATTTCTACCCTTGGTTATGTTGTGATATGGGAAGAGCAGACAAAGAGAAACAGAAAGAGGCAAACAGAAAGACCAAGAGTTTAGGGCATGAAAGGAAATGGGGAAGCCCAGCAGATCAGAAGCCAAATGAGATGAGAAAATGAGTGAGGAAATACCAAGGCTCATCCCTACATTTATCGCATCTAGTAATTCAGTGAAACCTTTAGTTACTGAGCTAGATTAAGAAAATGATACTGTTTTCATTTGATCAGGGGAAAAACTGAAGCAAAGGCTAGATTTGATAAATTTCATAGTTAATATGAGTGCAGAGAGTAGAATTCTGTGCCTGATTTTCTAGCCCTGACCTGGACAGCATTGAAAGAAACCGTATTTGGAACTAATGTGTCCTTGGGGACTAATTCTTTGTTTCCATTTTTCTAAAAAAAAATGTTTAAGGCAGCTAAAAAAAAGATAAACCTATTTTTAAAAGATAGATTTCTTGAAATTTGTGTAATTGCTAACTTATCCAAGAACAAGTATCACCCATGGGCTGCATATGGCAAAGATGAGGGAATAGTTCACTAGAAGGGAAAACAGTAATTTAAGATAGCCTTTGGATAGAGAGTTGGTGTCCATGCACGATAAATTCATGAGAACGGCCTAGAAAGGTGCCTTGCTCTACTTAGGAAACAATTTACTTGCACACGGTGGTGGTAATTTCTCCACAAGTTGTTGTTCAGTCATACTTTGTTTTCCTTTTTATTTTGATGTAAAGATGGAGATTTTCATTGACACAGAGCTATAATTTACATTTCATAACAACTTAGTTATGAGATTATGATCTATTGAACAGTTAACACCACCCACCCCACCCCGGGCTGCGAGAAATGAACTATTCCATTTGGCTCCCTGAATTGGCCAGACAAAGCAGAGAATGGGGGAAAGTTTATCTGGGTTTATCAACATCCAGTACCCTTACAAAGAGAATAACTTGGTGTGGTACAGAAACAATGACTGCACATCTCCTGACTTCCCACCTGGTCTCAAGGAGGATATGCTTTCAGACTGGGGTCCCTTTTCAGTTTACACAGAGCTCTTGAGAAGTGTAGTGACCGCACATAGGTAGGTCCCAACTTCAATTTCTTGTCTAAGGTAGAGGCCAGCGAGTTGAGTCAGGTCTCAAAAAAGAATCACCCACCAAAGCAGCTGTGTGCCACACTGCTCAGCCTATGACTCAGCTTCAGTCTTCTTCTAGTTGATTTGGGGACCCTCATTGTCCTAGCACCTCAAGGAATTCTCTCAGAAGTGAGTGTTGTCTCTTATTGTCCCTAAAATCCATTCATTAGAAAGAGTGCTTCTTTTCCTTTTTCCATTAAATTTATTGAGATACAAGTTACACATAGCAAAGTGCACATATTTTAATTGTACAGTCTGATGAGTTCTGACAGAAATGTAATCCCTACCACAATCAAGACACAGAATATGTGCCACATTCCACAAAGTTCCCTTGTGTCCCCGCTCACCCATCTGGACCCTAGCCTGGCAACCACAGATATGCTTTCTATTACAGTAAGTCCCCGACTTAGGAACATTCACGTTGCAAACTTTCACAGATACAAATGGACCTTGAATTATAGAATACCATGTGGATGGGAATCATACAATATGTGGTCTTTTAAGCATGGCTCTTTTGAGATTCATTTATGATATTGGGTATATCAATAGTTTATTCAACTTTATTGCTAAGTAATATCATATAGTTTAAATATGCCAATTTTTTTTTAACTTGTGTGGAGTTATTTACAGTTTGAGGTTACTATAACTAAAACTGACTTGGACATTCACATACCAATCTCTTCAGACACAGTTTTATGGGGAAGGGAGACAAGCAGAGGAAGTAAAAACCCAGAAGCCCATTGTTGTGTCATATAGTAAGTATGCATTAGCTTTATTTTAAAAACTGCCAAGCTGTTTTTCAGATGGCTGTACCATTTTGCATTCCAAAAGAAATTTATGAGAGTTCCAGCTGCTCTACATTCTTACCACCACATGGTATGGTCAGTCTCTGGCTTTAATTTTAGCCATTCTAAGGGATGTGAGGTGGTATCTCATTGTGGCTTTAATTCACAGTTTCTTGATTACTGATGTTGATCAAATTTCATTTGCTTATTAGCCATCTCCTTCCTTGACTCAACTGTAATGACTAGAAAAATATAACCCAGCACCCAGAGGCATCCTTATTAATTGCTAGTTGTAGGGAACAGGGAAAGGGGACGTTACTAGAACCTCTGCAGTAAGTCCTAGTCTCCTGCAAGCCACGACAGCACAAGGCGAATTAACTTATTATACAGGGAAGGTAGAAAAAATGAGACTTAGAGAAGAAGCTGAGCTTTGGGCCTAACCAACGCTGCTCTGGGTGGCAAACAAGTCCCAAGCTTGCCATACCTTTATTCAGTACATGTGGAGAAACAAATGTGACAAATGACTCAGGACAGAGAGTTCAGTACATGGGGAGAAACAAATGTAACAGATGACTTGGGGGATGGTGGAAATCCTAGAACAATGAGGAACTATGCAGATGAAGATTTTGTCCCTCCCAGGATGTCTTCAGCTGGTGTAATCTTGACCTGTAGCATCACAGCATCACCGGACCATTGAGGTCTCAGTTGTGACCAGAGGCCAAAATGGAGTTATGTCTCGGAAAGCCACAGCTGGGCTGTAGGCAGGAGAACTAGGCTAACCAAATGGTTTTTCCCAAAAATGATGTGGAATTGCTCCCTACAGCTAGTAGATTGTTACTTTTATTTCTTGATTTAACATTGTCAGCACATAAACAAAACACAGAAGCTCTCCTTTCTTTCCCATCTCAGGGTCAAATAATCAAAAGAGACATTCAGAAATCCCCTGTATGTAAGTGGAGCAGGTAGACTGAGCCTGTGGCCCTGGAACATTGTCAGGAGAAGGGATGTGTGAGTCATACATCCCTCTTCCTTTCTTGCCTGCATTGATATAAACCCAACCAGCAGCCTTGAGTTGTCTGACCTCTTACAATACAGTCTATTCTTCCTATTCTGTTATTTAATTCTATGTTTCTTTGAATTTTTATCCACTCCATATAGACAGATATTCATTCCATAAATAGATAATTTGAAAGTTGGATTTGCTTTTTTTACTGTATAATGGGGAGAGAGACAGAGCCAGAGATGGAGACAGAGACAGAGAATTTGAATTCAGCATCATATTTACTGTAGATTTTTGAGCAGTCATTCCATTGGAAACTAAACTTCATCTCCAGGACTTCATGACATTCCTCCCCCACCTCCTGCTCTTGTTAACAATGTAAAACAAACATCAGTTGCCTGGAAATGATCTTAATGGATTATATCAGCATATTGTTTTGAGTTGTTGCACTGAGCTATATTAATTGTAAAAGAACATATGTCTTGGTTCAGTAAAAATTTACATAAACCTAGATAAAAAGAATTTGTTGATTGGAATGTTTATCCTCCCAACTATCCTTTCCTTTTTTTATAACTATGAAGAATCCTAGTGTTTCTTTACCTTCCAGGATCATCTACTCAGGAAGACCGTAGCAGTGGTTCCAACAGGAAGTCACAACTGTGCTAATGCAGGGAAATGGGTCTTTATGAGGTCTGGGTCCTTCCCACCCTTTGCCTAATGCCAATAGATGTGCCAGTTCCCACCCTGTCTCTGCCAAAAAGAACTTATTTCAGGCAGGGCACACAACTTATATGAGATGTGGTCCAGAGAGGATGGATGCAGACTCAGCAAGAGTCCCAGTAACTTTCACCAGAGGAAGTAAAGTCTGGGAGCCATGGAGTAATAGGCATCTTGTTCCCCTGTCCAAATGCAGGTCCTGGGAAGCAGAGTCGCACCTTGGAGCCTCCATTTCATTTGCTTCATACTGACAGGAAGAGATGCATCTTGGGGAACCTGATCAAAGACACAAGCACCACAGCAGTGAGGGCTTTACTGGATGTTCAACACACATCAAAGCTCTGTTCTTCTGTGCTGACATTTGCAGGTCTTTAGTGGGTCTGAAACATACAGAGAAAAACCTTAGGTGTCTGCTGGGGAGAAACAGCCCCAGAGCTGTGCTGTACTGAGATGCCAAATGCAGTGTTTTCTCAGCTGAGATCTAATAGGATAATAACCAGGGCAAAAATCTACTCTCCTGACTCTGGCACAAGGATGCCCAAGGCTCCCTTAGGTATCCTGGTGGCTTTAGTGTCTATTTTCCGGGAAAAAGTAGGGATGAAGAGCAAAGTAAATGGGAAGAGCTGCCGCTCTATCGCTGGAGTCCATCTGTTTCCTAGAAATCTAGGCTTCTGGGGAAAGGCAGCATGATATAAAAGACAAAAAGTTCCTGGATTCAAAACCTGATTCAAATCCAGACCTGGCACTTGCTACCTATATGAACTTGGGTAAGTGACCTAAGTTCTCTGAACCTTAGTTTTTTCCATCTGAAAAATGGAGTTAAAAATTCCTGCCATGAGAGGTTTTGTTAAAAGATTTTTAAAGTGTACATAAAACAGTTGGCACATTGAAATGGAGAATATTTTCTCACCTTCCCTCTCTGAGGAACACTCTCCTGGCTTCTTATACTCTCCCCAGACTTTTCCACATTGCTTTGCACAGCTTTACCTCCTGCTGTTCAGCTGAAGCTGCCCACATGCAAGAACCTGGCAAACGCATTTGACTATTCCCCTAGATTTTGCATACTCAGTAAGTGTCTACAGAAACACAATCAGCAATGGCTCACTGCCCAGAGTCCCAGAGTGTGTGGCACCACCAAAACACTGTGATTCCCAGGAGAGGAGCTGTCAGTCAATTCTCATACACTGAGTTCCCCGATTGAGCACACTGCACACACCCTGTGCACAGTCTGTGCATGCTGACTTTCTTGACTTGATAAGGCCTCTGAATATGGCCCTGAATTCACATTTTTAACGTGATAACAGTCTCAGCTTCTCACTAGCTTTTGAGAGCTTGAAAGAAACTCAAGGATGGAAGCACCCAAACTGTTGAAGAGAGAATGGAAAAAGCTTTGCATACTTGGGCTCTTTTTGTTTTTTGGTACCGGAAATTGAACTTGGATCCTTGCGCTTGCAAGGCAGGTGGTGGAACCACTGAGCTAAATCCCCAGCCCCCAAATTTGGCTCTTTTAATCTTTCCCACAGATACATTTTACAGATGATGGCCCCAAGCTCCCTGAGGTTAAGTGACTCACACAGGGTGTCAGAGGTACTGACTGCTAGAGCGAGAGGCATGTGCAGATAGTTCAGAATGATGTGTGAGAGAATGAGACCCTGAGAGAAAGTGCAGTGCCTTCCCGGGTTTGGTAAATATGGAAAAGCCTGTGGAGCCTGGCATTTGTTCACTATACTTGCATCCCTGTCCCCAAGGAATCTTACCATCCCTCTTCCCCTTTCTTTTCCCTATCTTCCTTATTTCTCCTTCCCTTTCTTTCTTCCATTCCTCCTCCATCTATACCATAAAAAGGCAGAGGCCTGATTGCTCCTTTTCAGCCAACTTATTATCTCAAGCCCAAAGGCAGGACTTGGGGAATTTCCACAGAGGGTCTCTGTCTTGGGTGAGGGAGCTCTTACAGAAGCCAGATGCAGTGTCCCCCGGGTTCAAGGGAGGATCCAGTCCAGGGTTGGACCAATAATTGTGACTTTCGGGTTTTCCCAACAATCAAATAAGCTAAGTTCTGTGTTATTAGTTCAATTATCTTGATACATGCAGCAAAGAGCCAAGGAGAAACCTGATAACCATGTTGAGTAAGCTATTTTCTGGGAAATTCTGAAATGTCTCCTGCATGGTTCAAGGTTGGTTACTGCTGTCTGCATCCAGACCTGCAGCTGGCTGCTCCTTCAGCCAATGCTTCAGCATTTGGAGGTGTGGTTTGTATTCTTTTATCCTCCTGACTATACTATAGCCAAATGAAAATCACACATCTTCAGTCTTTGCATTTACAGCACCTAGAGTAAACCTGCCATGTGGCAGATGCCTAGTGAAAGGCTTACGGAATCAGAATGGAAGGAGAGTTGAGTCTTCTCACCAGCCCCCATGGTTGGGACTAACAGGTGTACTGTGGGTAGGTAGGGGCAGAGACACCTTGTGCTTGCCAGACCTGACCCTAAAGTCCACCGCTCACTTCTCAGTGTCTCCCACACCAGCACTACCCTAAGAGTTTCTGCCCTTTGCTACTAGGAAGTCAGGAGTGCCCCCTTGAGTTGTACCCCTGCAGCCAAACAGGGTGCAGAGTTACCTTGGGTACAGCTCTGGGATTAACAAATGATAGTGTAATTAATGAGAGGAATATTTAAAAGCCAAATACTATTAAACGTGTCATATATATGGCCATATATATTATTTATTTAATTTTAATCTTTATGATTGTCTTGCAAAGGCAATTCTTCTATTAGGATTGTCCTCTAAGATTTTAGTGGTTTGAGTTGTTTGAGCATGTCTTTATTTTACAAATAAGAAAACTATGGCTCAGAGGCTAAGTAACTTGCTTGAGGTCACAACTACTGAATCCAACTAGTGAATCACAGAAGCAGGACTCTATTCAGACCTGGCTGCTTCCAGAGTCCACAGATTGGCCACCAGTGGGAGCCGATATGCAGTTTGAAGGTTTTTCAGGCCCAAAGAAAGATATTTTATTTCTTCTCCAGAAGTCCCTGACTTTCTTTACTTAAGCAGCACAGTCCCTGCTATCTATACCCTCTGCTCCTCTGAGAAAGCATGAGCACTTCTGATATATCATATCTGCTTGATGAAGCTCTCACGCTTACCTGGATTTTGTCATGTGTCTGCTTTTTCACTCTGTCATTAATCAGAAGGATCTGCCTTCAAGTACAAAGAAATGCAGTTTGAAGGCAGGAAAAAAGATCCCTCTCACTGCCCTGCCAGGAGGTCCTCCAGTGTCTGAGGCTGAAGCATAGGTTCCCTGCAGTGAGTGCAGGACAGCACTGGGTAGGGAAGAACAGCAGGGAAGAGTGTGGGACTGGTTTGTGCCTCTGTGGACATAATCCCTACAGTTTCCCCATCTGCCGTAAGATGTACGGGATTGGACCTCACTCTGAGGATTAAGTGAGATGACAAACTCAATGCAAAAGTGCCCGGCAGGTCACAAGTGCACACTGTCCCCCCATACCCACCTTCCCCTCCCACTACAGCATCTCCTCCTTGACTTTTTCCTTTTTTTCTAGAAATTTTATACTTTTGAGTTTCATTTTGGTCCACAATACATTTTGAATTGTTAACAATACATTAACTAGGATATTAATTGTAGTTCTTTTGTAGCTCTTCTTCATCAAGTTGAGAAAAATTGTCTTTTATTCCCAATTTGCTGAGGGTTTTTTTAAAAATTATGAATCATTGTTGAATTTTGTCAAGTCCTTTTTTCTGCATTGATTTGATCATATGATTTTTTTTCTTTGATATACTGTTGTGGTGGATTACACTAATTGACTTTCAAATGTGGAGACAGCCTTGCATATCTTGACTAAACCCCACTTTGTTGTGATATATAATTGTTTTTCTACATTGTTCAATTTGATCTTTCCATGTTTTGGTAAGGATTATTTTAACTCTATTTGTAGGAGGTACTGGTTTGTAATTTTCCTTTCTTGTGCTCTTTTCTTTTGGTATTAGGATAATGCTGACCTCATAAAATGAGTTAAGAAGGGTTTCTTCTTTCTTCCGAAAGAGACTGTACAAAGTAACTTTACTTTCTTGCTTGGATGTTCAGTAAAATTTATCAAACCATCCAGGCTTGATACTTTCTGTTTTGAAAGATTATTGGCTATTCCATTTCTTTGATAAGTGTAGCCCTTCTTAGATTATCATTTCTTTTTGTATGGGTTTTTGTAGTTTCTGTTTTTTAAAGACTTAGTCCATTTCATGCAAGTTACCAAATTTGTAGGCATAGAGTCAGTCGTTCCTATCTTTACAGTCCTTGAAGTGTACAGAGATGCCTTTCCTGAACTTTAATACCCGTAATGTGTATCTTCTATGTTTCTTTGCTGGAGATTTATCAGTTTTATTTCCATGTTCAAAAAACGAGCTTATGGTTTCATTCATATTCTCTATTATTTTCATTTTTACTACTTTATTGATTTCTGCTCTAAATGTTATTGCTTTCTTTTGTTTGCTCTCATTAGGCTTTTATTGATTGCTGCAATATTGTAAGGTGGAGACTTATATTACTAATTTTAGATCTTTATTCTTTTCAAATGTATATGTCAATGTTATAAATTTTCCTCTAATAAATGCTTTTACTATGCCCTACAAATTTTTTTCCATTAAGTTTATTGGTACATTTTAGGTATAAAATACAGTTACATTCATCATTGGGATCTTGTACCTTTACATGATGTATCTTGGTTCT